CCCGGAAGTATACACATCCGGGTATGCTGCGTTTGCAACCCGAAAATCCGCAACATGAAGGGAACGTAACAAGAGGTATGACTGTACATTATGTGCATTCTGGCTGTATACACACCACATATTTAAAGCACATGACATACCTCAAAGAATTCTGGGAATGGTAGTTTAAGGGTACTGGGGATTGTAACTCTGAGGGGCAAACTAGTTTACCCAGAATTCTTGGGTGGAAGTCAAAGGAGGAAATAAGATCCCTGATTGACACAAAGCTTACTGGGCAACCTTGCCTGTTTCTCTCAACCTTATTTACCCCACAGGGATCTTGTGAGGATAAAGTGAGAGGGACCATGTATGAATGCTCTGGATGAAAAGTGAGGCAAATGTATTAGATTGACAGACAGAATAATATATATCTGCCAAGAAGAAGATTAATTTGCCCTGGGGAAGAAAAAAGAACGTTTTTTTAAAAAAATCCATAATTACAGCACATTTTCTTTATACATCTATTTCTACCTATAGCTATGTATCTTTGCACATAACTGGTACTTCCAGATGAAATTGTACATTTAATGGTATGAGTAAGATGCAGAAATGTTTTAGGAAGTATGCACCATATGTTTCATGCCTTGCTTTTTGCTTGATTTATGGAATTATTTATAGGACCATGCCACAATTAATTATTTTGTTCAGAGCATCCCACAAGTGACAGTAATTATCCAGCAGTCTAGCTTTTTCTTTTACATTTTTTCAATCCCCCACACTGGTAAATTTGATATAAAAAAAGAGGAAAGGGGGGTTGGATCTCTCCTGTGCAAGGAAAATTATGGGTGCGTGGGCACAGCATTGCTTTAGTTTTTTGTTTTGGTACCTTGTTATGCCAATGTCCTCAGAGACTTTGCAGAGAAATTGAAGGCAGGGGAATGAATAAATAAATGAATAAGTGACACAGAAAATACAAACTGTATTGAACTTGGCTTGTGTTATGTGATAATTAACTCCTAATTCAGGTCACATCCATGCCATGCATTTATAGCACACAGCTTCCCCACAAAGAATCCCAGGGACTGTATTTTACCCCCACAGAGCAACAATTCTCACCACCCTTGGGGGAAAAACACTACAGTTCCCAAGATTCTTTGGGGGAAGCCATGTGCTTTAAAAGAAGTTTGAAAGCAAGTTTGCTAGTGGGACACTGCATGCTCATTGCACAAATGGCAAGGGAGACTTTGCATTGGTGTGAAGAATTTACAGTGTGTTGATTTTCACTGGTCACACTTAGAATGTTGACTTTGCAAATATCGCTTCTTGGCTTATCAAGTGCAGCTCCTCAACATCCACTGGACTTTGCAAACGTGTTACATCTGTCATGCATTCAGCATTCCTTCGAATGAGCTTATATGCTTAAATTAGCCCAGCAAAACCTTTTGCGTGGTTATTTTAGAACCATCTATCATTAACATGTCAGATAGGAATCAGAAGAGCTTTCTGTAGGCCATGGGCTTTTTAAAAAGGGAAGACATTTACAGTGGGGAGGGAAGGCCATTGCAGAGGGAGTAAAGGACCCCTGGACAGTTAGGTAAAGGTAAAGGGACCCCTGACCATTAGGTCCAGTCGTGACCGACTCTGGGGTTGCGCGCTCATCTCGCTCTATAGGCCGAGGGAGCCGGCGTTTTGTCCGCAGACAGCTTCCGGGTCATGTGGCCAGCATGACTAAGCCGCTTCTGGCGAACCAGAGCAGCACACGGAAACGCCGTTTACCTTCCCGCCGGAGCAGTACCTATTTATCTACTTGCACTTTGACGTGCTTTCGAACTGCTAGGTTGGCAGGAGCAGGGACCAAGCAACGGGAGCTCACCTCGTCGCGGGGAGTCGAACCGCCGACCTTCTGATTGGCAAGTCCTAGGCTCTGTGGTTTAACCCACAGCACCACCCGCATCCCTAAGCGCCACCCGCGTCCCTGGACAGTTAAGTTCAGTCAAATTTGACTATGGGGTGTGGTGCTCATCTCGCTTTCAGGCCGAGGGAGCTGGCGTTTGTCAGCAGACAGCTTTCCGGGTCATGTGGCCAGCATGACCAAACCGCTTCTGGCACAACAGGACACCATGATGGAAGCCAGAGCGCACGGAAACACTGTTTACTTTCCCGCCACAGCGGTACTTATTTATCTACTCACGCCAATATGATTTTGAACTGCTAGGTTGGCAGGAAGGCAGGTCAGTCCAGCATCAGCATGGACCACCCCTGGACTGCTTCTGGGGTCTCCGCAGCCTGGCATGCCCTGCTGCTAACACTTCTCCGGCCCACAGTGCAAACACCTTCTTATTTCCAACGAGAAGCACTGCATCAAACTGGGGGCAAAACCAGATGAGATAAAACATGCCTGCCTCATTCACATGTGAAGCACAGAAATGGGAGGCCTTCAAGAGAGATTGCCACGGGCTTGTGTGAGTTAGCAGTCTCCAAGCTACACTTGAGTAGATCAACCACGTGAGCCACCTTTTTTTTAGGGCAAGTTGGCCCTGGTGCATCTCTGGGACTGACTCAGAGCAAACTAGGCATCACATCCTTCACACAATTAGGAATGGCCAGATTTTTGATTTTTTAAATAGTGAATAGCAGGAGCAGAGGCCTCCAGACCAGATGAGGCCCATGGCAGGGAGGGAAGGTGGGATATAACCCTTTGTCCGACTGTGGTCCTGGATTCCCTCTGCAACTGCCATTTGAATTTGGGGTGCGTAATGGCATAATAAAAATGAGCAACCAAATTATACCATGCTATTAAGGATGCCCAAACTATAGGGCCAACATGCCTGAAAAATGTGGTTGCTTTGGCTTCTTTTTTGTTTGTTTACCTAGCGGGGTGAAAGCACACTGGCCTGGAGCAGAGGATGTTGCTGTTTTAACCACCAACTGCAAGCAATTTATTTGTGTGGCTCTCTTGACTGGTCATTGAAAACAAGCCCCAGAATTTAGCAAAACAGGCTCATTTAACATCACAAAGGGAATGATTAAAACCCACTGCGTTATTATGAGCCTTTCATGTACCCTGCGTGAAATAACTTGGAGAGCACAACAAATAGAGGAAGTGCTGTTTCCCGTGAAAGCATGAAAACTTCTGCAGCTGAATTTTTGCTCGGTGTGTCTTGGACCAGCTATTGGCGCCCAAGTTCTGTTGTGACATACATTCATTCATTTTATTTATTTCATAAAACTTATACATAGCTTGATTGTGTAAAAACAAAGAACCAAACCAAACCAAAAACCTCAAAGCAAGATCCCTGTCAAGGACTGGTAAAATTGCCCACTTGATTGAGGTATTGTAAGAGACAGCAAAATATGAATTCAGTTTGATATAGAAAAAAATTAACCATTAGTGTAACTGATCTCTGCAAGGGTCGCAACAACCCAAAGGCGGAAACTCAACTGCGCTCACATGGTGGAAGGTTGTTCTGAAAACTTGCCCACTGCCAAATTCTCACTGTAGCTAAGAACAGAATGTCTCATAACTTCTACTCTTGCACTGAAATGAATCTGTTCCTCAACCTAGTTGGCTTGAGCTGGACGTAGTTTCTTCTTCAGAGAGAGACAGGACTGGTGCCGGTAAAAAGGAGGCAACAACAACATTTTGGCATCCCATGCAGCGGCGTAGCGTGGGTTGTCAGCACCCGGGGCAAGGAAAGTAATTTGTGCCCCCTAACCCCTAACCTGCCGCAGCTGCCAGCTTCTTCTTGCTGCTGCCTGGGCTGGTCTGGTGTGGTTCTCTCCCGCGCTCAGCGCTGCGCTGGGCGGCCGCTGCACTGTCCCTCCCCCAGATAGCCCCTCACTCTCTCTCCGCACCGCATGCCTGGCACCCACCCACTCCACAGTGGGCGGCGACCCAGCGGCTCGGATCGGATTTGCACAGCCAGCACTGCAGTGAGAGAGAGTGAGTGAGCCAGGTAGGGGCAGAGAGCTGCGAGTGCGAGCGCGCCCCCCCCCGATGTTGCGCCCGGTGCGGCCGGCCCCCCCTGCACCCCCCACGCTACGCCACTGATCCCATGATGTAAATTCCTCTTCGAAAGCAAAAAAAAAAAAGTCTGTCCAACTTTTCTTCTCCAGACACATTCTATGGTCCTTAAACACATTACATACAAATACTTCTTTCCTTGAATGTTCAAGACTATGTACCCCCAACCCAATAATGAACATACAAAAAAGGAAACAGCACTGTACATCCCTAGACACCCATCAATGGTATTTAATCCCCACCTTGCAGTACTGCTCCTGTTTTTACTGCATTTCACCAGAAGAGGGTAGAGTTTGGAAAGCACTTGACGGCAGCCTGGAAGTCCTATTGTGCTTGTAAACAGCAAGGGGGATAACAAGCACAACTTTATCCTTCGCACACTTCAAGCCCTTGTGTGAGGGAGCTGCTGCAAAACTCCAGAATACCTTTGTAGCAAAAGACACACAACAGAATTCCCTCTGTGAGCCTCTCTGAAGCCAAGACATCACAAAAGCAGCTGATGGGACTTGTCTCTTTTTTCCTCTCTTTCTCTCTCAGAACTGTTTCGTTCACTTTTGTTGTTATTTAGGCATAAGGGACTTATTGTAGGAACCAGAATCTCCGATGGCAAATCAATGCCATTTCAGGAAATAAAGAAAAGCTGAAAACAGCAATGGGTGAGTTTCCTTAAGTGTTCCTCTGTCTCCCTGTCTGTCTCTCTCTCTCCCCCACTCCTCGTTCAAATCTATTGGAGCAATCGCTGCTAGTCAAACAACCGCGCTCTCTCACTCGCAAGCAGATAGATGACTTGCCTCCCCACTGCAGCTTGTTGCAGACTTCGCAAGGTTTCGCAGCCTGCAGGTTTTCCTTTTGAAGTCTATTTTTCCCCCTAGTCCTGTTCAAAGTCGTTGCCACTTAAGGTTTTGCTAATGAACAGCTGACTTGATTTATCGCAAAGCTTCTCCCGTAATAACCTGTGGGAAGAGAAGACTGTTGGAAACAAGGCAATAACGTTAAAATGGCAGATGACATTAGTTTTCAAGAGCTGGAAAGTGACGGGTCAGAGAACAGTGAAGAAACAGAGATTGTCGTTAATGTCGGCGGGGTGAGGCAGGTGCTGTATGGAGACCACCTCAATCAGTATCCAAACACGAGACTAGCAGAGCTTGTGAACTGTTTATCAGGGGGATATGACACCATTTTCTCACTTTGCGATGACTATGATCCTGGGAAGAGAGAATTTTACTTCGACAGAGATCCGGATGCTTTTAAATGCATAATTGATCTGTATTATTTCGGGGAGGTTCACATGAAGAAAGGGATATGTCCCATTTGTTTTAAGAACGAAATGGAGTTTTGGAAAGTGGATCTCAAATTCCTGGATGACTGCTGCAAAACTCATCTCAGTGAAAAAAAGGAAGAGCTAGAAGAGATTGCCCGCAGGGTCCAGCTGATTTTGGACGACTTGGGACTGGACACCTCCGAAAACCGCTGGAAAAAATGCCAAAAGTACATTTGGAAATTCATGGAAAAACCAGAATCTTCGTACCCGGCTAGAGTAATAGCAGTTGTGTCTTTTCTACTCATCCTAACCTCGTCGGTAGTGATGTGTGTGGGGACCATCCCAGAATTGCAGGTGGAGGACTCTGAAGGAAAATCTGTTGAGCACCCGGTGCTGGATAAGATTGAGACAGCTTGCATAGTCTGGTTTACTCTTGAGTACGTCCTCAGACTCATCTCATCCCCTAACAAATTGCACTTTGCTCTTTCTTTCATGAACACTGTCGACATATTCGCAATACTTCCCTTCTATGTCAGCCTGATATTGACCCACTTAGGTGCCAAACTGATGGAGCTAACGAACGTGCAGCAAGCCATCCAAGCGCTTCGGATCATGAGGATCGCAAGGATTTTCAAGCTGGCACGGCACTCCTCAGGTCTACAGACTCTGACCTACGCTCTTAAAAGAAGCTTTAAGGAGTTGGGGCTCCTCCTGATGTATTTGGCTGTTGGGATATTTGTGTTTTCTGCCCTTGGTTATACGGTAGAGCAGAGCCACCCTGAGACGATGTTTAAGAGCATACCCCAGTCCTTTTGGTGGGCCATCATAACCATGACCACGGTGGGTTATGGGGACATTTACCCAAAGACCACGTTGGGCAAGCTCAACGCTGCCATCAGTTTCCTTTGCGGGGTCATAGCCATTGCACTCCCGATCCACCCTATCATTAATAACTTTGTCAGATACTATAACAAGCAGAGAGTGTTGGAGACAGCTGCCAAGCACGAACTGGAACTGATGGAACTATATGCAGGCGATAACAAGAAAGGTGGAAGCCCCAGATGTGAAGCTGCATCTCTTCTGGAGAAAGGACAGGAAGATCCCCGGTGGAGCAGCCATCTCAGATTCTCTAACAGTGACACCTTCATTCACCTCCTGTCGGATAACCACCACCGAACCAGACTTCAGAGCTGTAAGTAGCCTGTGAGTTTGCCTCCATTCGGTGGAAATCTGGAATACAAGTGACAATCTCGTCTTGAAATAAGAATAAAAGGGACTCCTTTGAGGTCAGCCGCTCTTTTTCATGTGCATATATTTATACATAGGCAGACATATGTGTGTGTGTGTGTGTGTGTGTGTACACACACACACACACTCTTCAGCAACTCCATCTCAGCTTAGTAAGCCATTGTTTATAAAACACAAAAACACAATGAATGTATGGCCAAATATAAGAACTGCATCCTGACTCAGATCCCTTTGTAAACATTTCAGAGGGGTCAAAAAAAGCATACCAGTCAGTATATATAAAACGACTTGGATGTAAATTCTTATAGAGTCAGAAAAAAAATGTATGTATAATAATAAAGGGGGGTGGGAAGAGAACAACGCTGAAAAAGCAAGTTCTGTCAAATGTTTCTCTATTTGGGAAGTGCTGCTTGAAAGAAAAATTAAACTGAACTGTCACTTTATGTTCTGCCTAGCAAAATGCTACTTGAGATGTATGATGCTCTGGGAGATAAAGCAAATGTAAAGAAGCCTCTGAACCTTAATGTTGGGAGAATTCCACCTTCGTTTTTAATAGAGAAAAATGTTTATTGCTCTAGCCAGATTTTTTGAAAGAGAAAAGGATGAAGAGCCAATGTGTTAATGATAGAAATATAACAGCAAATAAAAAAGTATTGATTAAAATGCAGTGGGCATGATTTTCTTTAAGTAACTTCTTTCAGTTCTTCACAGGGAAGTTGCATACTATATATATCCCAAAGCTGAACACTTACCAAAGCCTGTGAGCATTCTAAATCTTTCAAAATAAATATTAAGTAACTGCAATGTATATTCTACTTATAATGATCAACTATTAGTACAGCAACATAGCACTTGATTTCTTAAGATGAGGAAAGGAATTTTGTGTGCCTAATGTCCTGTGTTTCATCAGTACAGCACTGTATATCACCGGGCAATTTATGATGTGATGTATTTGGACAGCTAAGTAAAGCATCTTGGAAAACCAACAGGATTTTAAACTGCCCAGGCTATCCCTGCTTTACATGGAATGGCTTTATGATGCTTAGAACTTCCTGGCTCAAATGCAGTGGTGCAATTGCTGTACAAAATGCAACTGGCTGGCTTTCCCCCATGGGGGGCACAATCAAGGGGACAAAAAGCATAAAAGCCTGCCAATCCAAATGGGTGGGGAGAAACCCATGCCAAATTGTGTGCTTGTTGCCATATGTCTGGAATTTCCTGGAAATAGCTGGGATTCAGCTGTGAATTTCCATAAAAATAGCTCAAACAACTTCTTTTTTAAAAGAAAAATAGCTCAACAACTTTGGCCAAAAAAAACGCTCAACTAGTTTTGTGTCCGGACTTTCACTTTTTGAAAATATGGCAACCCTAATCAACATTTTCATTATTGTGGGAGTGGATTGGGGTATTGGGTGCCCTGAAAACAAATGCATAACAAAGAAGGCAACAAATGTATGTGTGCACCACTTCCCACCACACTTTAACAAGTTATGCCATTGTGTTCACCTGAAGAATGTGTCTGTGGTTTCAATGTACTGTATTTTTCGCTCTATAACACGCACCCGACCATAACACGCACCTAGTTTTTAGAGGAGGAAAATCCGTAGGCATGCCACCCGTAGGCATTACCTCCATAACACGCACAGACATTTCCCCTTACTTTCTAGGAGGAAAAAAGTGAGTGTTATAGTGCAAAAAATACGGTAATTGGAACTGGGGGTTTGAAAGCACTTATTTGAATAACCTCATTCACATTTCCTTGGAACCTTTTCCCACAAAGTAGCCATGTTAGTCTTTCTAAGGATATAGACCATTGATCGGCAAACTAAGGCCTGGGGGCCAGATCCAGCCCAATTGCCTTCTGGATCCGGCCCATGGATGCTGATTGTTCAGGCTGCGCCATTTCCCCTCCCACTCCCTTCCACACACAGCTGCAGCACCTCCTCCCTCCCTCCTGGCTTCTCCCCGCCCTGCCTAGAGGGGGAAGGGGGTTGGGCTTTGTTGAGCCGGGGTTGGCTGAGCACCATTTTAAGCAGCCCCTCTCCAGGGCCAGCCCTTTCATGCTGCTCATCATCCCACCACCACCGCCACCAGCCCCTGCTGCTCGCAAGGCATGGGTAAGCAGCCACCGGGGCTCATCCAGTGCTGTGGAGAAGGGAGGGGAGAGTCATGGGGGGGGAGATTCCCCCCCAATATAGTCCAGCCCCCAACAAGGTCTGAGGGACAATGGACCGCCCCCCTGCAGAAAAAGGTTGCTGACCCCTGATCTAGACCAACATCTCCCAAACTTCTGAGAGCTGAGGCTCACCTTTGCTTCTGAATTACAACGGGAGGCACATTTCAGCCTTGTGCCTGAAACCATAGCCCTCTACTGTCCAGATAAAACTGGGACATCCCATTTTTTGTGTGCGAGAGCACGACGGCCATTTCGGGTGCCGTGATCTCACCCTGAAAAAAGTGCATCCTTTGGTGCCACAATCTTGCATGGGTCACATGATTCGCACAGGAGTATGGCCCCAGAAGACGGTACAGTGGTACCTCGGGTTAAATACTTAATTTGTTCCGGAGGTCCGTTCTTAACCTGAAACTGTTCTTAACCTGAAGCACCACTTTAGCTAATGGGTGCTCCTGCTGCTGCCGCGCCGCCAGAGCACGATTTCTGTTCTCATCCTAAAGCAAAGTTCTTAACCTGAAGCACTATTTCTGGGTTAGCGGAGTCTGTAACCTGAAGCGTATGTAACCTGAGGTACCACTGTATCCCTGTTTTTCGCCCAAGTGTGTTGGAGGGTACCTGAGAGTGCTTAGTTTCAGAGTATATAAGACTAAGAATTTTTGTCTCTTGTGCCCTCAGTGTTTCTGCCTTAGCATTTCTGAAACAAAACCCAGAGCCCTATTTTATTTGGGATGAAACAGGAAGTTTCCTCTGGAGCACAAAGAGGAGACTGCAGTCATACTGGCAGACCCGTGACTCCTCTGCCCCCCTCCCCCACTGGCCATATGTTTATTTTATTGTATATAATTACATATTTATGGGGCAGTTTTCAACTAACGCATCCCACCAGTGGAGGGATTTTCGCTTGCGCAGTGGAATTTCTCCTCCTCCTCCTCTTCGCCCTGCATGCACCCAAACCTTCCCTAAATCTGCTCTGGAGAGCTGGGGAAAGATATTTTTTTGGAGGGGGAGAGGCAAGGCTCAAGGGGAAAGTTCCATTGCACAAGCAGAATCCCCCCCCAATGGATCATGACAGCTGGAGACTACCCATAGGCTGGGCACTGTGATGGCGACCAAAGAGTTGGAATTCATAGAATTGTAGAGTTGGAAGGGACCACAAGGGTCATCTAGTCCAACCCCTGCAATGCCCAACATGAGCCTCAAGCCCACGACCCTGAGTTTAACAGTCTCTTGCACTACCAAACTAAGTTATCTCATTTAAATTGTTATCATAACAATCATTTTCTGTTCTCCTGTATTTGTACACTAGGCCTCACTATCACAGCATAAAACAAGCAACGATTAGAGGAACAAATGCCCAAATCATGATGCAATATTTAAACCCATTGTTTTATTTTGGCTGTTTTTAATTACGTTTTTATCCCACACTTTCGCCAAAGATTTTAGGGTGGCATAGATGAGTGTTCCCCCCTTTGGAATGGCAAACTCAAGGTCCGCCGTCCCCCAACCCTTGAGCTGCATGGTTGAGTGGGGATTTCAGCCCTAGTACAGCAAGGAACGTGGGTGGCGCTGTGGGTTAAACCACAGAGGCTAGGACTTGCCGATCAGAAGGTCGGCGGTTTGAATCCCTGCAACGGGGAAAGCTCCCGTTGCTCGGTCCCTGCTCCTGCCAACCTAGCAGTTCAAAAGCACGTCAAAGTGCAAGTAGATAAATAGGTACCGCTCCGGCGGGAAGGTACTACAGCGTTTCCGTGTGCTGCTCTGGTTCGCCAAAAGTGGCTTAGTCATGCTGGCCACATGACCCGGAAGCTGTACGCCGGCTCCCTCGGCCAATAAAGCAAGATGAGTGCTGCAACCCGAGAGTCGGCCATGACTGGACCTAACGGTCAGGGGTCCCTTTACCTTTACCTTTACAGCAATCTAACCACTGCTCCACATAGTGTGTGGCTGCCACATATAGGGACAAATAATTATGACCAACTTTATTACAGTATATAAAGGTGGTGGGGAGATGCTAAATAAAACTGTCAAATGCTCACTGCTACAGTCTCTAGGCCCAACAGTTCTTATTAAACATGACATTCAACATGGCAATGACTCATTTTATTAATGGTAATTATTTCTTTAGTTAGACACAGCCTGGAGCAAGAAGGGATGTGTAAATTATGCCACTTTGGAAAGAGATTAGGAAGGCAGGTAGCTCAGAGGCACACTGCTTCTCTAGAAACAGAGATAGTAGTAGCTCCAGAGTCTTTGAAAGCCATCCTTTTCCCCACCCTGCAGGGGATCTGAGTCCAGGACAGGACAAAAAGATGGAGCAAAGTCTGGATAGCTCAGTTGGTTAGAGCGTGGTGCTAATAACACCAAGGCTGCAGGTTCGATCCCTGTATGGGTCAGCTGCCTATTCCTGCATTGCGGGGGGTTGGACTAGATGAATCCTCAGGGTCCCTTCCACCTCTACAATTCTATGAAAGTCTCAAGGGAAACACAGAATTGCAAAGTTGGAAGAGACCACAAGGGTCATCTAGTCCAACCCCCTGCAATGCAGGAATCTTTTTGCCCAATGTGAAGCTCAAACCCACAACTCTCAGATTAAGAGTCGCAGGCTCCCCCAATGGAGGATTGGTTTCCCTGAGGAAAGAATACTGGTTTGTGCTCTTTTTCAGATTGATTATTGGCTCTTCAGATCTTAAAGGAATACAATGTTTTTTTGCTTTGCTTTGCTGTTCATTTGTTATAATCACATTTGTTTCACTGTGCATTTCTTTTCAGTACATTCGTTTTCACTACCCACTTTTAAAAAGTGTCTTTATCTTAACTTCTTCTACCACTCCTTTTGCCATAGCCTGGTTTGGTGACAGCAGTGGAACTGACTCTGGCAATTGTTTTGTGGTACCCACCATTTTCTCTTCTTGGAATACAACAGATGTGGCATTATTCCAGAGCATTCCGAGAGAAATATGTTTGCCCTGTCATATCTAAACCCGGTGAAAGCATAATTCTAAACAATTTTCTGAGAGAAAATGGCGGCCACCACCCACACAAAAACAATACCCATTGATGGTTTTCATTTCCCTCCAAGAATGACCTCCATGTTGCATTGTACTGGGGCATGCTGTGGGTGATGGCAGGCACCATTTTTGTGTGTGCGCTGGCCACTATTTCCCCCTCAGAATGTTCTGGAACAATTACAGGTTAGCAGGAATGGTAGCTGCCAGGAGGGGAAAACCCCAAAGGTAAATCAAATACATGATGGATGGAATAACATAAAGGAAGCTAGGTGTAGCAGTTGTGATGTGATGCAAGTACAGGGTGAGGATGTACAAAACTATGGTCACATTCATAGCCTACCTTTAAAGCACTCATACTGTCATGGGCTTTCCCCTGTTAATCCTTGGATCTGCAGTTTGTTAAGGTTCTCCTTAAATCCTCAGCAGCTTTTACAAGCCACAATTCCCAGGTTTCTTTGAGGGGTTCCATGACAGTTAAAGTGACATAACAGTGCTTCAAACAAATGCTGTGGGTGTGAGCAGTATTTTAATCCACTTTCCCTTCCTCTTCAGCCATACTGTTTGAAACACTGTTCTGTCTTAAAATGCAGACCTGGGAATCGAAGGGTCGTATGATCACACCTCCGCTGTGCCCTTAAAGCCTCCCTCCCACTAGATCCCTACAATTGAAAGAGGCAAGTAGTTCAAATTCATGACAGTGCAGGCAAGTTTCCCCAGTTATCCTTGCATTCCATCTCTACTCCCTGTGCTACAGATTTAGACCACAAGCAAAAGGCAGGTGCAGTAACAGAAGGGCAATTACGGAGCAAATAGCTCGAATTGACATCTGCAAGCAGAAGTCATTTCACTTTGCTGCAGGGGAAGGCAAAAAATAACCCGACTGAGGGTTACTGGCCAATCTGACCTAAGGCAAAAACTCCTTGCCAACGCCAGACACGGGGATCAGTAAGACTTTGAGCAGGAGCCAATCCCAGCCAAGAGAAAGGCTGTGAATGCGTCTTTATGCCATGCAACAATTAATGCCTAGTTTTAGCTAGCTGCTATTTTAAATTCACATAAAAAACAACATCACCATCTCAGCTTTAGGACTAAAAAGTGCAGTATGGGCTGCCCAAACCTCACACAAATGCGATGAAGGTGGGGAGTCCACCTGCAGAATGGGAGACGGCCAACAATGGCAGATGATGACACACCGCAGCTGAAGAGCCTGCTAAGAAGTTTAAATATGAACTACCTAAGTCCAACCATGCCTAAAGGTAAAGGGACCCCTGATCATTAGGTCCAGTCGCAGACAACTCTGGGGTTGCGGCACTCATCTCGTTTATTGGCCGAGAGAGCCGGCATACAGCTTCTGGGTCATGTGGCCAGCATGACTAAGCCGCTTCTGGCGAACCAGAGCAGCACACGGAAACGCCGTTTACCTTCCCGCTGGAGTGGTACCTATTTATCTACTTGCACTTTGACGTGCTTTTGAACTGCTAGGTTGGCAGGAGCAGGGACCGAGCAATGGGAGCTCACCCCGTCGCGGGGATTCGAACCGCTGACCTTCTGATCAGCAAGTCCTAGGCTCTGTGGTTTAACCCACAGCGCCACCCACGTCCCACTGAAGTCAATGGGATTTACTCTCAGGTAACTGGAGCTAGGATTTCAGCCAGAGTCTGTCTGTACCCTATGGGAGACAACTTATGAAAACGCACACGCTCACCAAGCTCTGTTTATACTGTATAGCCAAGTTGCACATGGAAGGAAGGAGATAGGATCATGCTCACTGTCCCCATGACCAAACCTCCGCATGTGCATCAGGTCTTCTGTGCAGAGGCTACACAGGTACATGTTCAACATGTGTAGGTTCTGCACAGATGAACTGAATGCACAGAGATTGGAGACTGGTGGTAGAAGACATGTCCGATTCCTGTCCTTCACCCTGGGCTTTCCATCTTCCTTGCACTCATTTGAACAGGGCTCAAAACACTGCAAACTTTGAGTGGAACCGAATCAGCCCATTGCCTACAACGGAGCTGTGCAAGAGCAGCAGACTTCTGAAGAATTCGGCTTCAGGTGCAGGGAACCTATTATGGAAGTACCCTACTTAAGGAAGGAGACTCGCAATCTTTCTTGGAATGCTGCTGTTTCATCAAGCTGTATTGATTACTATAGTCATTCTCACTGTGAGCAAAGCGTGCTCTAGCCCCTCGGGTGATCCGTAGTCTTTCATTCAAGCACATAACAACAACAACAACAACAGTGCCTTACATTGTATTTTAAGCAACTAGCACAATATTCTTATGGGAATGAGATTAAAAACAGATGGGTTCAGAATTTGTGGGAGAGAAAAGTGGTACTTAAATCATGGAGGAACAATCAGCCTGCAAAATGAAGAAAAATGAAAACTTGCAGCACAATCCTTTGCATTTTTACTCATCCCTCATCTTCAAGGATGCTTACTCCCAGGAAAGCATGCATCAAACAACAGCCGTATAGCCCAATTCTATAAACATGCACAATGGCTACATCCTAGCAATGTCCATGGAACTTACTCCAAGGTAAGAGTGTATTGGATCGCCAACACTGTCTTAGGGACCAATTCAGGCTATATGGATGTGACAGTCACACTCAGTTAACACATCTTTTATAACCTTTTATCCAGCTTTTATCCTTTTATCCAGCTGTCCTGGGAGCTTCAGACCACCCAGGTTGACACCCCCCACCTCACCATCTCCATGGCTGATGGCGAGAGTGGTAGGGCTACTACAAACCTGCACTCTGCACTTTAGACTTTGCAATATTCATGTAAAAAGTTGGGACTTAATTTTATAAAACAAAGCAAAATAAATCTACCCTACCAGTATTAGCATTGGAGTCCCCCCACCCCGTGGAGAAAGGCACTCGCATTTGCTTTTATTTTCATGGCATCCAATTAGCAAGTGTGGCAATCTTAAGTTTATACATTCAGCATGCAATCAGGAAAAGGTTCTCAGTCCTTGGCAGCAGTGCGGGACCAGTTCTGCCATACATTGCACTTTATAAAACACCTCAAAGCTTCTCCAGCGACATGCTCTACTATCTGATAACATCTTAGAAACAGCTTGATCCCTTATATACTGGAAAAAAGGAGAGTGGCAGTATGGACAAAATGAATGTTGACTTTAAACCACTTTTCAGAAGTTCAGTGCAATGACCATACATGAGCCATTATGTTTTCTTACTGAGAATAAGGGGTTAGGTGATAAGGGCATACCATTATTTAATTTTGACACATTGTGAGGGAATCCACTATTGATCCACAAGGTATCGGTCCATAAGCTTCTGTGTCATTTCACAGAATCATCATAGATTTGGAAGAGACCCTGAGGACTATCTAGTCCAACCCCCCTGCAGCGCAGGAATAAACAGCTGACTGACGGGGATTGAACCTGCAACCTTGGTGTTATCAGCACCACACTCTAGCCAACTGAGCTATCCAGCTGTAGCATTCATTGCTCTCTAGTTCATATTGCTCTGATTCATCCTTGCATGCGAAGCATATTAGCTGGAGCTCATTCCTTGTTCTTGTGTCTTACCTCTGCATGGCAGGATCCTAATCCTTGGCAAAATCTCCGGGCATTCTCTAGGTAACCCTCCCTTCAAGAGGGATGCATGATCATGTAGGAGAGCCCCACTCCTAACACCTTGAGGCTATGCCTGACACCATGCTTGCTTTTGCTGTATTTGAGAAGGAGCTCTGTGCATGCTCTGTGTAGAATCACTCCATTCCAGGTTGGAGGTTCAGATTGGTCCAGTATCTACCCCCCCCAAAAAAAAACCCCAATATGGAGTTGTTCTACATACATATGTATTCCCAAAGTTCAATTCTTGGCATCTTCAAGTTGATTGATCAGATAGCTTGAGATGAGAAGAAACTCTGTCTGGGACACCCCTGGAGCAAACATCTGAGTTCATTGAGCCTTTGGTGAGCTTTTAAAGTTGTCATCGACCCCAACCCAAATTCTTGCAGATGTAACTGAAATTAAAGTCGGGAAATATCAATTTGTAATCAGTAGTTACAGAGCTGCTTCTCCTGCATGTTGGAGGTGCATGGATAGCAGAGCGCCTAGTTGGCAGGCAGATTGGCAGCAGCCCACTCCCCACTTCAAAGCATGGGGTGTGTGCAACATCCTAGCCTTTTACCCACAAAATCTAGATACTGGTCACATGGACCTAGTTGAACGGTTTGTTATCACATCACATAGGCCCATGGGTCTGTTGCTGCCGTCACACGACTATCAGATCATGGTGGAAATGCAAACATGTGAAAACCATGTGGGTCATCTGCGTCATGCAGAACTTCCCATACCAACACCTGCAGATGGTGCTGTAGCTCAGTAGCAGAGCATGTACTTAGAATGCATGAAGTCCCAAATTTTAATATCTGGCTTCTCCCATTTAAAACAGTCTTGGGTAACATAGTTGGGGGGAAATATCTGCTCGAGGCCCTGGAGAGCTGCTGCCCGTTGCAATACATAGTGCTACACGAGATGTACCGATGGTTTGGCTCTGTATACTGCAGCTACACATGAGAGTACATGCGAGGGCTGTGTAGCTATCTATGGTCTCATCGTGGCACTGCTGCATTCCACAGGCAAGCTACCACAGAGGGTATTGGAACGGCTACTCTCTCCAGTCAAATACCACAAGCACATTTGAGCAGGAACAAAGCACCAACACCCCTTGCCAACAGAGCTTTCTGTTTCTACTGTTTTTCGTCAAGTATAATAAATCAGAACGAAACTGCAGTTCCTTGATGACTCTTTTGAGGGGCAAATATAAACTAACTGGCAAATGGCCTTTCAGATTCGAGCGTTGTGCCAATTAGCCATTTGTACAGGGAATATAAATGCTTTCCAGGGGTGGGGAATGCACACACACACACAAACCCACCTGCAGCTATGGAGATGGAGTGTTTACCCTCAAGAGCAAATTAATCTCTCCCAGCATGCCATTTATTCCTGCTTCCTTCTATACCCCTTCAGCAAAAGAAATACAATATCAGGACAGTCCTGCAAATTGTGTTCAGCTAATGTCCAAAAAAGGCAGCATGCGCTAAGGACAGTGGCAGGCATCCAGGAAGAAAGCAGTCCATTTCCAGGTCTTTAAATCTCCTCCAAGCACTGCAAAAGCAGTAAGCCTCCTTTCTCTCTCCTCCCCCAAGTTGACTGAGGTGGGAGTGAGAAGAACAGCATGGACTAGTCTGTGGACACATATTCCAAAGCTCCTGGAATATGTGTCCCCCCAAACTCCCTCTCTCATCACAGCTTGCCCCATTCCCAAGATCCCACTGCTGCCGCCACCTGCAGAGCAGGGGAGCATGAAGAGTACAAAGTATTTTGCCCTGTGCCACCACCACACCATACATTTCCTGCCTCCCAAATCCTGGAAAATGTAGGTTCCCCTGCCCCACAACACAAAGCTACAGTTCCCAGCACACTTAAATTACGACTCCTAGGATTATTGGGTCTGTGTGCACGCGCATGTGCTTTAAATATATGGTGTGTACATGCCCACTGATAGTATTCAGGAGGGCAGAGAAGGAAGTGTACTACAGACATTTACTGCTTCTCTTTTGCAGATGAGATAAAACCATGTTTCCTCCCTGCTGTCGATATCTGTACTTGTTTTCCAAAGCCTGAAAGCACTAAATAATTATGATGCCTTAAGGCCATAAAGTGTTTAAACAACAACAGCCTATTTAACTTGGATTTTCAAAGGGAGTTATGGTTCTGATAGCTTGATCTCATGAGGATAAACCAGCAGGTGCTATTTTTTTTTAACAGTGAGTTTATGATCTTTTTTTTATGAGGAGCTATCCAGCTCTTTCATCTTGGGATCTTTTGTGCTGCCTTCTTTATGAAGGTGGCTTATTTTCATGTGAAGCCTACTGAGCACCAAGCTCACTTTTCCGCTTGGGTTTTATCCCAGAACCACTAGCTCAACTATATGGTGAAGTCCAGAGCTCAGGAGGCAACTTGAACTTAAGCCTCAGCTGTTGCAGCATGGACAAATTTACAGCGAGGGATGCAGGGGCAGAGCAGGAGATCTACTGCGTAACAGCAAATGCAATATGAAGGAGAACAAAAGTCAAAGGTGGGATCTTCCACCTAGAGCAGAATTTCCCACACTATGTTGGTGACATGTTTGAGGGAAGAACTGTATCTTATTGGTTTGCATGCAGAAGGTCCCATGTTCCACCCTTGGAATCCAGCTAGGAATGGGAACATTTCCAGTCTAAAACCCTGGATGGCACTGCCCAATCAGTGTAGACAATGTTGAACGAGATAGACCAATGGTCTGACTTGGTATAAGGCAACTTTCTATGTTCCTTGCGAAGGCGTGTACAACAAAGGCTTCTGTAACAATCTGCCAAGCGCTCAGAAACAAGTCATCAGCCATATTGTTTAGCTGGTGGTGAGAGAAGACGTGTTGTTTTCATCTCTCAGCGTAAACACCAAACGGTGGGAAATGTTGCTTGAAAGCAGCTCCATATCCAAAGGCCCAGAACATACTGAACTCAAAAAAGTTTTATTTTTAAAATAAAATATTATTATTTTTGCTTCGCCTTCACTATGATGGATATATCCAGAATTTCACTTATTTTTATCCTGAATGTGGGCAGCTCTGCACGTCAGAGAAGCTGCAGGTGAAACATCTGCCCCTCATTTCAGAAGCACCAGGTGGGAATTTGTGCTCAGGTGGCTTGTCTTTCAATACGCCCATACACAAGAGAGAAAGAGAGAGAGAAAATGCTTGACACTTATCTTATGGCCCACCTCAGACAACCCTGTTCTGTTTAGGAACACAGCAGGCCTTGCTTGATTTTGTTCCAACGCTAGGCACCAAGGCTAATTTACAATGTTTTAATCACTTTCTTTCACTCCTCCCAGCTGGCAGACCACTCCGCACCTCAATGCTCATGTTTGACATTTGTGTTCCTGAGACCTGCGACAGAGCTACATAATGCTGTTTTATTCCTATGATCTCTGCAGGTCACAAATCAGGTCTACTAATCATTATTTACTTCCCTCAATGCCCTCCTCTAAACTTTCCACTGCTGCCAGAGATTAGCATCTACTTATGTCAATTGTGCCTGCTTGTATTCTGCCTAGTTCTAAGTCATTTTCTTTAAAAGCTGATCCTTACAAAATGATGGAGTCACACACACACACACACACACACACACACACAGGTGCGGGGACAGACACAGGCAGAGATGTTACACATATCACCTACTTCTGCCTCACACCCACAGCTGGCATGTGGTGCCCAAAAAAAAATGCGGCCTTCAGCAGGAGAAAAAAGAGAGAGGTCCTCACCTTGGCATAAAATCTTGGCCATAGATGTTGCAGATTTGGGATAGTGGAAATAACATTTAGGACATAACAAGATTATCCACCCACCCGCTTCTTGAGGCTCTAGCATTAGATGTCCCTCTGATATAGAGGACCTCCGGACAATTTTCCTAATTACCTCTCTCTAGCTCAGGCTTCCTCAAACTCGGCCCTCATCTGGAGGCTACAATTCCCATCATCCCTGACCACTGGTCCTGCTAGCTAGGGATCATGGGAGTTGTAGGCCAAAAACATCTGGAGGGCTGAGTTTGAGGATGCCTGCTCTAGCCAGTGAAGGAGAAGACAAGGAGTCCCTCTGGATGGGTGCCCCTTTTGCAGGTATATTCTGCAACATTTAAATGGTGCAATAATAGTGCATTCCTGGTGGATTTGTACAGAAATGGCCACACTTTTTTTCTGTTGTTCTATTGGGTGTTCTGAGATGCTTCCCCGCACGACTGCTGTGCTGAGAGGCTACAGCGCAACAGGACATGTACAGCCCAACAACACAACAACAGAAACCCTCTGATAGCATTTGAATCAATATGGTTGACCCAACAACCCCCTCACACAAACACAACTCACTGCAGTCAACTGAAGGCAACCCATCATGTCCCCCCCCCCGCACCAAATCTCTCTCACTGCCAGCAAAAACTAAAAAATGAATAGAAAAAGAACCTGCCCACATGATGCTGACACAAAAGCCCTGTGCAAGCACTATGTAAAAGGATGAAAGTTTACTACCCCCCCCTTCTCTCTTCAACCCCTCACACTGTTCCATGACATTATTGTCTCACATCAAATGTAACTGATCTGTAGAAAGGTCTGAAAGCAGAGGCACTGCGTGTACTTTTGTTACCCAAGAAAATCTTTAATAAAAATAATTTGAAAACAACAAGGAAGCAACTGGACATCTGTGGAATGAAAAGGGCTGTATCTGGAAGTTACAGGAGATGTCAAATATATCTATCTATCTATAGATATAGATATTTAGATAGGTAGAGATATATTTGACATCTTTCCGCAGGGCCTTCAAGACGGAGCTGTTCCACCAGGCCTTTGGCCAAGGTACAGTCTGACCCCCTCTCTCCTTCTGCAATCCTCA